GGTACTTTCACCGTTTTATAATATTTTACCTCAATGACACTTTCTTGGAAGGAACATAAATTCCTCATTTATACAGCGGCGGAGACATTTGGCTACCTTGTTTCATTCTAAATTATTGATAACCTTAGCGATATTAATGTCACAAAAACCTTCATTTGTACCCTATGGACAATCATACATTTTTTGAGAACTTCTTGGCCAAGCCGAACCAATTTTATTGCAAGAATATATCTATGTTCGTGTGTTGCAAATTACTACGGATTTTTTCCATTTGGCAAAGCCATAATCCTGTCAAACTCTCCTCATGCATGACTTAATACCAGAATTGCACTCGTCAGGTGACACTTACAATCAAGGATCATGTTACTTTCAGGAGACATCTAGTTCTACCGCGATTTAAATGGAGTTTGTGTTGCCGAATCTTCCTTTTTATGTGTTATATTTTAAGGATTGTTGATTCTCTTTAATTCTGTTTTTTCCATGGAGTCGTTTTTCACTCTTTGTCAACTGTACGAATGGCCAAGAGTGAACAACATCGGGAAACATGTATTGTAAAATATATGATTGGAGAACTCTTAAATACAATATTTAAAGAAACATGATTATACTTGATGTTGATAAATTGTTCACCTTCGCCCAATCATTATCTGTCTAGGCTAGTTCAATATTACAGCATAAAAGTAAGATGATAGCAAAGGGACGTACAAAAACATAAGTAGAAGAAAGTCAGACACAAACATGACAAAACCAAAAAAAGACGAAAAGACAAACAACAGTCTACCAAACCTCTGAAAGGCATTTGTTTTTTTGTCGTTGGGTTGTTGTCTCAATGATATAACCCATCGTTTTTTGATGATTTTGTTACAGAAAATTAAGAATTGAACAACACAAAGCCTATAAAGATGTGCTAACCGGATGCACTTCCTGTTAAACTAGGGAAATCATCGTGTAACGAATGACAGGAATGAATACAGCCGCATGTGGTGTTGTTACGAACGAGAAAAAAGCTTATGGCAAGGTTTATGGAAAATATCCGTGGTTATATTAAGCACAGATATTCCTTAACGTACAACCAAATTTTGAAGGCGTTCGTTAAACTATCAAAGAGATGAAGTTTAAATTTAACATTAAGAACCATCGGTTCAATAACTTTCCAGTTAGCATTAGCACTCTCTCAAGTAAATGATTATAGAAACGCAATCCTTAGAATATTTTATCGATATATAATCCATATGCAGATGTGTTGCAACACAAACATATCCGGTTTAAAGTCATTTGATTAGAAGGGAACATTTTCAATTGACCCTTACTGTCAGTACCTGTAATATAACACATAAATTATTTCCGTTAACATATTATTGTTGAATAACAACGATATGGTCCGTTGTTATTCTCCATCAGATCATTAAATATAATCTTACTACCACTGAGAAATTCATTCTTTAGGATACCAAGTATCAGGTGCACTTATTGTTTTAACACCATATATTCTTTTTATTGAAAATTTAAGGTTATGCATTGCATTAAATCTAGGAGTGCAGCTGGTATTTGGTGTTTCGAGCCTGACGTAGTTTACTCCATAAACACGTATCATTTGCACTTAAATCGATAAATTTATATTTTTGCTTTAATTGTTTTCTTCGCACTGCTTAAATTTACTATTCCTCAGTTCAAGGTTTGTTATCATGGTGTTGTTACAAGACAGTTAGTTATTAGAACATTTTAAGTTGAAACTGATGCAAGTGGAAAGGTATTCGTAACCAAAACGTTAATGTACACAATTTTCCTGTATTATATGCTTGGGGTATACGCAAAAATGGATTTTTTTCTATATTTCCCAAAATACTTCAACTGTCGATTCTGTGCAAAACCTCAATCTAATGATCATTTCGTATTATAAAATGTAATGACTGAGAACGGTCGTTTATGCCTTTCTAGTGATAGTTTTACCCATAGTTTGTAATGGTTATTATATTTTGATACAAATTATGTTGTTGTATTGATAAAAATTAAGACAGCTTAGACAACCTTGTCTCACACCGACACCGTTGCTTGATTTTACAAGATTATTATTTAGGCTATCACACATGTTACAGTGATTGCTAACCTTACTAACAAAAGATTTCATAAGAGTCGGATGTTTTGTTGTCCTGCATTTGTATTTTGAAAATGATTCGGGAAAAAAAATTTACACAATATATGCAATGATAATTTTATAATCTGAAACACAAAATACATTATTATATTTTCTTCCTTTAGGTGGTTGATGCATTCAAATATTTAGAAAAAGCTTGTATTGTTTTAACTTTTGTTGTATTATTATGTTTGCCTATTTTGATGTTCATGATTTTAGGGCATACACTCATGAGAATCTCTTTTTCATCTACTACTCAACAGAGGACGCACTTTCCATCTTTACATCTACGACTGATTCAAAATGTAAACCATCACATAAAGCAATATCTTTCAACTGAGAACTCATTAAATTGCACAAGGATATACAGTTCAAAAACTTATCGGCAAATTTATCATTCGACCCGAATTGTATAAGATGCTGACTCGTATACGTTTACTGCATATTTTTTCATTGCTTTTCGGATTTTTTTCCGCGTATTTAATGGAGAATTAAAGCCCCCAATTTTGAAGAAAAAACTAAACGAAAATGACATTTGGCACACTAAGACTTGCTATTGGAGTTTTACTTGAGAAAAGAATGAAGATGTGAGACAGAAAGTGGACTAGGTTGATGTAATGTAGTCGAATAAGGATAAATAATGCCTTGCAAAATCGAATAATTAACCAATAAATGACAGTTGATAAATTAAAGACCCTGTCACTAAGTATTGTCAAGGGGTTACGTTATCCATTTTCCGTATTAAAAATATTTCTCTCGTCACTATGAACGGAGAGTGACCACCGAGCTGATGATACCCTCGGGGACTAGCAGTCCACTAGACGTGGTTTGCAAGGCTGGTATTTATTTAGATTAAGATCAAATAATTTTATATGATATTAAGCTAACTCGTTATGAAATCTATAATATTTGTATTTAGCTTTTACTATAACACACTCGACCAGTATCAACCTTATCATCATAAAAATATGTTGTCATTATTGACGGTGTAGTTGGTATACTGTCGCTGCTTATTATTATTGAAGTAACTATTATCTGCATTTTACATATTGAAAATTAAATAAAAGAACTAAATTTTGTAGATTACTGTACCACTATCAGCTGACTGATAAATGAAATCATAAATATGAAAAACTTATCGGCAAATTTATCATTCGACCCGAATTGTATAAGATGCTGACTCGTATACGTTTACTGCATATTTTTTCATTGCTTTTCGGATTTTTTTCCGCGTATTTAATGGAGAATTAAAGCCCCCAATTTTGAAGAAAAAACTAAACGAAAATGACATTTGGCACACTAAGACTTGCTATTGGAGTTTTACTTGAGAAAAGAATGAAGATGTGAGACAGAAAGTGGACTAGGTTGATGTAATGTAGTCGAATAAGGATAAATAATGCCTTGCAAAATCGAATAATTAACCAATAAATGACAGTTGATAAATTAAAGACCCTGTCACTAAGTATTGTCAAGGGGTTACGTTATCCATTTTCCGTATTAAAAATATTTCTCTCGTCACTATGAACGGAGAGTGATATCAAAAAGTAATAACACAATAACTTTTATTTGGCTGGCTTGTCCTGCAATGATATATCATATTGCGAAATTTCCGGAGGCTGTTCGTCAATGATGACTAGCATAGATAACTATGGCCACCATTTCCTCGCGTCAACGGTTTGTTTACACCCAGTATTGCCGATGTCGTCTACAGCATCATTTACTCGATTAAATTTCTGTGTGCAAAATTCTCCCAAATGAAGTTCGTATTCAGATAAAAACACGTAACAACAAAATACTCCACACAAAGATTTTTTAATACGAGAATTTAGTTTTACAACCAATGAGAATTGAATATCGATGGAGAATCTCGTTAGTTGATTCCAACAAAATTAATTAAGTCTTATCATGAAATAACAGTTCATAAATGTGGTGTGTCAGAATAGCCTTTTTGGATTTACCAGGAACCGTCAAACACAAGAAATTGAAAACCAAGAATGAAATAATACAAGAATACGCGAGGAATTTTTTTTTTCAATTTATCAACAGAAAATTTAAAAAAAGGTATGTTTTAAATCATGTCAGTACCGAAGTACTGACCACCGAGCTGATGATACCCTCGGGGACTAGCAGTCCACTAGACGTGGTTTGCAAGGCTGGTATTTATTTAGATTAAGATCAAATAATTTTATATGATATTAAGCTAACTCGTTATGAAATCTATAATATTTGTATTTAGCTTTTACTATAACACACTCGACCAGTATCAACCTTATCATCATAAAAATATGTTGTCATTATTGACGGTGTAGTTGGTATACTGTCGCTGCTTATTATTATTGAAGTAACTATTATCTGCATTTTACATATTGAAAATTAAATAAAAGAACTAAATTTTGTAGATTACTGTACCACTATCAGCTGACTGATAAATGAAATCATAAATATGAAACATGTAAAACATAATATATTCATCAACTGATGACCTAGCAGATTTTTTTGTATTGAATTTCTTGGATTTGATGTGTATATTTTGATTTTCGTAGTTTTTCCAGTAAAATGTTTCTGACATAAATTAAAAAAAAGGAGAAATATACGCTTCATGAAATCTTCAAATGAATATTAAATCCAATATGATAAAACAGACCAATATAAGCAACTACATGGCCAATAACGACAACACTTCTTTTCTTGATGATAAAAAATACACAACTTGCAAAATATATCGGACCAAATATGCAAAATATATTAAAAACGAACATACTAAAAGTGACGACGATCATATTCTTAAATTTTCCCATGATGCATTCTTTTTATTATTGAGGAAGAGCTATGATGTTAATGTATACATTTTACTTCATTTGCACAGCTATAACAGAGAGAAGAATGGCTCCTGCACAAACACGCGTTGCAGAACCAAGGGCAAGGTCATTATCCCCACCACCAGTGGGTAAGTTTTACTGAAAATACAAAGAAAGATAAGTTTTTGATTATATTCGAACTGAGAAATCTTTATTAATTTCTGTCTTATAACCTGTGACAATTAGCAATTTATTTCCTTTTGAAGAATCATGTATGCACCTTTTACCGGTAAAATGTCGGAGATAAAGAAAGGGGGGCTTTAATGTTATAAATATTTTCAACCCCGCCACAAGTGTATGTGCAAGTCTTAAGTCAGGAAACTCATTAGTGGTTGACTCTAATCGTGTTTGTCCTTTATGGGAAAACGTAATGGCAGGTTTTTAATGATAATGCCATTACTTCTACTGGGTCAATACCTCTGCCGGTGGACTCTAAGTCCACGATGGTATGCCCAGCCCAGTAGTCACTACTTCGGTTCTGGCATGAACCTACGGATATAGTTTTTTATAGAAATTTAAATTAATCTAACTCATGTACAGGTCTTAATCCTTGTCCAGGTTTGAATTTCACCTTTGATTCTATTTAGTTTAACAGCTCTTGAACGTTTATACTTATACTAAGTTTCGGATTTTTAAATATTGGACATGATCATCACCGATGAAAACGTCATTGTCAAAATGTGCATCTGATGCAGTAAAATTATTACCTTCAATGTTATTGATATCTTGATGTCTTTAGACCATAGAAAATCATGGACATTTCCATACATTGCTATATATTGTAGGTACTCGTGTTGTATCCGCAAATCCCCCAAAACTCTTTCAATAATTTAATGAAACTTTCTTACAATCTTAACCATATGTTGCCCCAAGCAGATCATAGACTTTGTACTTGCCTTTTGTGGGAGCGTGATACCATTTTATGACATTTCCTCGTAGTTCTTCTGGTTTCAGATGTACTTGCAACAGGTCTGTGCTATTTGGTATTTTGATGTGTCAGCTACTATGACTTTCAGTTTAAAGCCGAATATGTATCTGCATACATATTTATACTTCAGGGACTATGTAATTTTTGCATTGCTTAAAAGTTTGAATCGCAACAATATATCCATTATGTGGCAAAACGGTGGTAAAAAACTAATAATGAATCGATCGATCATTACTAGTGACAGGTTAGCTAATATGTTTATAAAGGTCTATGATAACAGGTGTAAAATATGAAACCAAGACTTTATTAAGTTCATGCGTCCGAAGCGTTTTTCTGGATATAACATATTTCCGGTTTGAACGTGCATGCCTGAAAATGGTTAATCTAGAAAATAGCTTCTGACTCACCGAATGTATCAAGTGTTATTTTCATTGAATGATTTGCTACATATGGTTAAATGATCTGCATGATATTTACATTTCCGTAGTGCATAACTTTCTGATTGTTTTGTAGTAATGAATAATAGATAAAAATTATAATCATCTCCTCGTCTGTTATTAAACATGTTATAGGAGATAAAAAAAATTAAGCAAGTAAATCTTTTTTTTTATCTTTCACATATCTTGCTCTTGGTCCGATGTATGACCGGTTGTAACTTATAATTATGTCATTATATTTATCTTATTTATATTGTCCTTGTGCAGTTAAATTGGTACTTTAATATTAATGTGTTGTCCATCTCCTAATTTCGATACACTTATTCATTGTGTTATGATATCTACGTTGTTGGTATATCTTAACTACAAAGGTTATATGTGTATCTCCTTTTTGCATTGTGATATTTTGAGAGAAAATAACATGAAAATACTTTAACATTTGCATATATTACATATTTTACGAGAGATAACATAGTGACTATCTGCTTGAATTAGACACTTAATGCAAAAAAACCCCACTTAAATGGGATTTAAACCTTGTGATAATAAAACATTACGAAATCAGGAGACATCCATTTGACATTCCTGGCAGACACAATAGGTTTAGTCACTACAAGAAATGAAAAACATTGCGTTACTGTAGATTTCGCATGTTCTCACTATACGGACTTTATTAACAGGAATCTGCTCATTACCCCAAAACTATTCCAACAGAGATATGAGGAAGAACACTTCATAAGTTTTACGGTTACAATCCTAAATCGGTTGACCAATACGTGATGTGTCGGTGTCTCAACCTACTAGCGACACGTTTTCGTGTACTTAGATCTATAGATGCCAATGAAATCGTCTGATCTGTAATTTTATCGATTGTGTCCGATTCCCGATTGTGACATTTTTACTTTGTCTGAATTCGCATAGATGGCGGATGATGCAAGCATAGCAAGAGACTTATATTTGTCGACGCAAATGATTTCTACTTTTGAAGTTCATGCGATTCCCCCTGATTCTGTTTGTTACCTTGACTTGTCTCTTTCTAAACGATTAACATAAGTAAATTACTTTCTCCTTAATTCATGACGAAAATACAAATAACTGAAAATTGACAGTAACAAGAATTTCACCGAAAATCGGGATTAAATTCATGCTGTGGAAGGGTAAACATGACAAGTGCAAAAACAGTAATAAGTCGCATTACGGGTTTTCGAAACAATCTACAAATCTTATTAAATTGCCCTAGTTAGATTAAACTACTAGTATCCAAAATTTTATTTAAAAAGCTCTTAATTCAAATTGAAGATAATTTTAATCAGTTTCAAAGCAAGGGATCAGAGCACCCTTCTCGAAAGCACTTAAAATGTAAACGTAAACTTAAATCATATCAAATTTATGAACAAAGGCAGATATACTACTATTATGTTGGGTAATTTATTAAAAACATAGATAACTATAATCAATAATCTTAAATTAATTTTTTTCTAAGCAGCAGCAAAACGATCGGTAAGAAAGAAGCACCCATTTCCTGGTCCAAGTAAGTACATGTTGCATATTATTTGTACAGTACATTTTTATACCTATTATGTACGGACATTATCTGCAGCAAATTACACAAATAAATCTTTATAAGAAAGAAAAAATCATGTCTCAGAATACAAAATAGTTATCATTACTTTATATGTACTTTAATAAATTTTATAATTAGTGATTTAACTAATATATTATTCTAATGAATCATTTTCGCAATCAATGTTTAATGTAACCTAAATTTTTATGATGTATTCTTTTTATTTTCAGAAAGACTTCGGAAGTTTCGTCACATTGGTTATGCTGCTTGGTTTATAGCTTCACTAAAAATTTTAGCAGAAAAGGTAGAACCTACTAACACCCACAAAAATCACATACTGTTATAAATAACTTTCAATCATGTAATTAAAGTGGGAAAGCTTCTTCATATCCCGTATAAAGTAATAGTAAAATTAAATGTTACCTGGACATAAGGTAAATTAAATAATTGAATTGATGAATTAAAGAATAAAGATGTGTTGTATTTAAAAAAAATATATAAAAACTAAAAAAGGAAATTTATGACAAAACCCAAACGTTAGATGAGATTTAAAAAAAAATATATATATTCTTGCGTATTTTCAGGATTAGCATACATTTGCTAAATAACATGCAACAATTAATCATCGAGCTGTACAAAGGAACAATATTGCTTTAAACCACGTTTAGAAATTTTATCTTTGAACAAAACTACTTATAGACACAGAATTATACTTCTAACGTCTTAAATTTTTACTTTGCTCGGATGTTTTCCCTCATAGATAATTGCAGATTTTTTAAGATATGGTAATGCGACTATTTTTCGTCTGCAATATTTACATTTTCTATGAACAGAGATACTTTATTCAAAGAGCTTGCTTTTATTCGAGCTGTCGAAGAAAGTGAAAGGAACATACGTTTGATCTGAAGTCCATTACTATGATTAGCTTTTAATATAGTCTATATTGGTCATATATGGCGGACGTATTATTAGTCAACTCGTACAAATAAATTGTATATTTTCGGACAATGTACATATATTGTATAAGTAATTAATTACAAATCATCAATACCGATCGATAATAAAAGACATATTAGCGCACCGTGTAAAATTGTCGTCTCTCCTCTTAGCAAATACCAAATGGGAGTGCAAACGTTTGGTTAGTGTAAAACTATATAAAAAATAATTAAACTAATGCATTACTTGAGACAATTATGTGCTATTTGATCTAGGAAATATGAATAGTTAATATTGTTATATGATATCTTTTTTTGCAGCCTTCCCTTTTCCTAATAACACTTGCTTTAAAAGAAACCGTGGGAAATCTAATGTTGTGATTATTAAAATTCTCATTTTGAAATCATTTAAAAGAATTATTATTAGAAGAAAATCCGTTGAAAATATGAATATAAATTTTGCAATTATTATCCCCTTCATGAAGAGGGATCACTAAGACGATCGTTCCCTGTAAATCGAATAGAATCTATTGTTGTAAAGGCCATTATCTATAGTTTTATTGCATAAATTAGGAAATGATTATTTAAAAAAATATCATGAAATTATACCGACAATTTATTTTAGACTTTTTTCGGAATTACAAATTTATAATATTTTTGTTGATATATGTTATTTACAGTCGACTAGAGGTTAGTTATGTGATTTTTTGTGATTATATTTATTACAGTACAAATAACATGTACTCACCATCTGCATCTAACATTAATACTAACACATGTGTTTTGACACTTATTTTGTACTATTACTTATTATAAAGTGCTTACATTTTAACACTTACATGTAATCTAACATTATCTTTAATAACCTAGATATTTTCTAGTATTTTTCTTGCCGTAATTAGCAATGGACTGATGTGCACTTTTAACAAACGGTTGTACAATTAATCATTAGTTATAATTAGTTATCTTCCAAAACCATATATAGTTTACAATCTGTAATGCATCTTCCCAGATGATCTTACTTTTACTTAGACTAATGAATTAAAGAGTAAATTGGGTTTACCACTATTTTAATTTAATTACGCTTGTGCTTGTATCTTGCAATTTCCACGATCATACGGAGGTGAGTTGGAAAACGCTCAAAATAATTTCGTAATACGCCTAAATTCAATCTAATGTCAACTGAGGCAGTAAATATTATTAACATCCATATATATATATAACATTTGTTGTTACCTGTTAGTCAAATGCGTTTTGTTAAAATATACTTTTTCACTTTTTTGGTTTTTTGGAAAATGTTGTTTATGCTGTATTTAGACCCCTCTAACAAGAAATTTGTTTTGCATGCACACGTATAAAAATTGCGGTTTTTATCCAACGCAATCATAGGTTTGAACGTTGTTTTCAATTTAGACTTGTTTATATTTTTTCGTTTGGGCTTGTATTATATTTGCCTTCGGGTTTATATGATCCGTTCATCCTATTTGGACTCCTCAAAATTCAGGAGTCTATCCTAAATTGAGGTAAATTGTATGGCTTTCCAAATACCGTTTCGATTCCTAACATCACTGAAGAGACATTAATTGTCGAAATCCGGATATGGTGTACAAAAACCTTTGCACCTTTTGTTTGCGGTATAACATCTTTTTCGCAAGTTTATTGTTTTCTGTTTAGTATTAAATTTATATTTAAGATCCATTTATTACATCGGTGATCCGTTTATTTGGCAATCGCCAATGGCAGTCAGCAGGTATTAAGAACATTTGATGTTCGACCTGTTAGTCAAATGCGTTTTGTTAAAATATACTTTTTCACTTTTTTGGTCTTTTGGAAAATGTTGTTTGTGCTGTATTTAGACCCCTCTAACAAGAAATTTGTTTTGCATGCACATGTATAAAAATTGCGGTTTTTATCCAACGCAATCATAGGTTTGAACGTTGTTTTCAATTTAGACTTGTATATATATATTTATATATATAATATATATATAGATATAGATGGTGTACAAATTTTTGCACCTCATGCTTGCAGTATACCATCTTTTCTGCAAGTTTATTGTTTTCTGTTTGGTAATAATTTAATAATAAGATCTATTTTGTTACATCTTGTGATCCGTTTATTTGGCAATCGCCAATATATAATGGGTTTATATGATCCGTTCATCCTATTTCGACTCTTCAAAATTCAAGAGTCTATCCTAAATTGAGGTAAATTATATGGATTTCAAAATACCGTTTCGATTCCTAACATCACAGAAGAGATATTAATTGTCGAAATCCGGATATAGTGTACTTATTTTTGCACCTTTTGTTTGCGGTATACCATTTTTTCCGCAAGTTTATTGTTTTCTGTTTGGTATTAAATTAATAGTTAAGATCCATTTTGTTACATCTGGTGATCCGTTTATTTGGCAATCGCCAATGGCAGTCAGCAGGGTTTACGAACATCCGTTGTGTGACCTGCTAGTAAAATGCGTTTTGTTAAAATATACTTTTTCACTTTTTTGGTCTTTTGGAAAATGTTTTTTGTGCTGTATCTAGACCCCTCTACCATTAAAATTTGTTTTGCATTCACACGTATAAAAATTGCGGTTTTTATCCAACGCAATCATAGGTTTGAACGTTGTTTTCAATTTAGACTTGTTTATATATATATATTTTTTTTTCTTTCCTCAATAATAAACTGCATTGAACAAGGTATTTTAGACACATTATTGACTAGAAACAGTAATGAAAGGCAGCCTTTTTTCAGAATTAGTTTAATATTTTCCTGAGTCTCATGTTAAGGTTCTTATGTTTTTACTAGTAGTGATTTTATTTCATATCTTAATGATTTCTATTGTGTTTATGTCAATAAGACTTGAGTTACAACCAAAAATCATTTCTATGTACATTTATCCTCATTTCGAATTTGTAGGTTGCATTTATAATATATATATGTATTTCCTCAACATGAGCTCTTTGTATCTGATTTTGCTATGAAGTATATTTGATGCATTTGATTCAGCCTTCAATTTAATTTTTAATCAAAATTAATGCAAGAGTTACAATGATCTTATAGTAGTATATGTTTTGTATTTCTTTTGACTTGTCACACTGAACCTAATTAAGATTCCTTTTTGGTTGATACAAACCTTGTATTTTTATAAACGTTTGGTTAGAATGTCTTTATTTCTTAATTTTAGAATCAAGGAAACAGACCAAGTAGTGTATTTTTATTTGGTATTATTCTGAAAGAAATTGTGGCAGCTTTACATAGAATTTATTTAAATGTAAGTAAAAACTTATGTGCTTGGCTTTCATGTCCAGTAGTCTGTTTACGCTTTTAAATGAGAAATGTATATCAAAATCGAAAGAATTTACTGAATTACGGGACAAGACTTAATAAGATTACTAAGCTCGTGTCTGATCGTTGTTACTTATTAAAGCAAATAAAACATGTTTTAACTCTGAGTTTACAAACAAATGAGCAATTATAATAATAGTTAATGACATTTTATAAAGAAACCAACTGCACCTTTTGAATTATGATAACAATGTGTACGGTTCTATGAATACAGAAAGCAGTCTTGTTTAAGAAATACGTTACAAAATACTATCGGATACTGACGAAAGAAGAAATAGAAAAAAATAGATATGATAACTGGAGATATTATATTATCTTTTGATATTTTCCGTCCCTTTATTTCTATCAAAATACCGTCCCGCAGCTCTGTGACGTTGAAAAATTGACCTGACGATATTAATGTAAATGTGTGATCGGTTTCAATGAGCAACACATGTGTCTGGAATAACATTCATAAAATATACATAAACAAGTAAATCATTTCGTAAAATATCAGCTGTTTGCCACAATATGAATATTTGTTTAACTGGCTGCTGATATTTTTTATTAACTAAATTTTTCAATATTTTTTTCTGGTTAAATCTGGGCTTGAATATGTTTATGAAAAGGGGTGGTTATATCATTTCAACGGGTATCTTTTAGCTTTAACAACGATTATCTTTGCAGCCAAGTGGCAATATTTATCCAGTCTTAGCTGATATCATAAGCCCAAAAGCTTATGATTTAACAAATTTGTTAAGAGGAAGAACAAACGAACGAGAAACTCAGGTCATGATTCAGGAACTGCAATATGTGGTGGAAAATCTTGTATATCACATGACGGAAATTATGGTAAGAAATAATGCTTGAGGGATGGTTTGTGTTGTTTATGACTAGAATTGAAAACTTCAATCTTTTATTCCGCACACACCGAGTCTAGCCAATATTTTCTTATCCTTAATGGCAAAATTTCGTTCAATTGCCTTCAACAGAAAATGGATGGCAAAACTGTTTATACAAGAAATAAAGACATAATCAAAGAACGTTTTATAAACAGATATACCTCGTAAATCAATTAGAACTGACACGAGTATGTTTTATGATAATACCAATGTTGGATAATATTGAATAAGACAGTTAAAGAATGGAAAAATATGAATGAGGGTTTATCAGATATTTTTGTATCTGTATATTTTTACAATTCGTGACGAACACCACTCTTTTTGAATTAAAATACAAATATTTGCATTTGTTTATTAGTGGTTTTGTTTTGTCAAGAAGGGAAGGTAAACACATTAAGTCAAATATAATGAATGTATTAGAAATCACTGACCAACCTACACATTGCAATAGGATATCTATGCATGTTTTTCAGCCAAGCACCGGTGTTTTAGGAACCCACAGAAAGTCTGCGGTATATGAACTAATCAAAGATGGGAAACGGTTTCCTGATGGCTATTTTTGGCAAGTAGAGCTGGTAAGTTTGCTAATATACTCCTTCATTTCATTCATGCTCAGTCTTCAGTTTTGTTTGTAGTGTATTGTAGATTTTTGTTTGTCTTTTTGTCGTTTTTCGTTTTGCCATGATTTTGCTGTCGCTTGTCGACTAATGCGTTTTAATTTACCCTTTTGTATCTTCTGCCTCTAAATCATCTAGATAAAGACCTAGTACAATGTATTTTAGGCGGTATTTCGGATTTTAATGAAATGTTACATGCATTTAGAACTCGTTAAACTGCATCTAAATGTAGAAAAACATGATTTATATGTAGCATTTATTAACTAATATTTGTGAAATAGATCCATAAAAAGTGGCGAAAAAACAATTTGTGCCTTAGAGATGAAATTTCTATTTCTCTAAATTCTGTCTACAAAATTTAGTTTAAAAATAATGTGTTGTTGCTGAGAACATTTGTTTTGATAATTTTTAGAAATAGGGATAAGCGGAATCTTGTTTTCAGTAGACATCAGTCCGTCTCGATATGTAAAGTAAAAAACCGTTAATAGGTCAAAATAATCGTAACATCGTGACGAATCCGATGACCTCTATGACCGCTATGATTTTCATTTCCTAAAATCAAACATGTGCACAGCACTATTGTATCATTTTTAAAACAAAATTCTGTGGACGGAATATTGCAACGTTTATATTCTGCAGATTTCTTTACTATAGTATTGCTGGTACTTCATCATTTTTTGGCGTTTTTACTGATATTATTAAGCATTGTTGACCCATATGTAAAGTATAAACCACTTTTTATCGCATTCAGTCCCTATATATAGGTTTATACTTTACATGATACTGTATGGTGTCTTTTATCATATCTTAGCTTGATGACAGATATTTGATAGATTCTGTTTAATTTGTTCATAACGATAGTCTCAGGATGATTTAGAGCTTTGCATATGGGTCAATATGCGCAATTCATTTCAGGTAGGCGACAATTGTAGGCTTTCCTCTCATTCCTCTGTTCACATCGAAACTTGGATATGTATGTTGGCTCGTTTCGAAGCTGAGACCTTTTCACAGATACGGTTAAATTTTCGGGGTACGAAGTGCGGTTAATTTCGCACAAATCTGGAATCCTCGAAAGGCCCCATGTGATGCGGCTTCAGCAAGTATTTTCACACAGTTAAAATCTCCGGAAATTAAGTTCTATAAAAACATTTAATTACTCTTAATCTTTATTGTACAGACTTCAGCTCTTCAGAAAAGCACAAAGGATTAAGCTCGGTCAATTACTAAATAGTATAATGTCCAAAATCATATAGATGTTTCGTTTTTCTATTTATATCTGTGTTCCTCAATTTGAGGGTCGTTAGGGATATTGAACCTTACATCCCAGCTCCTCTGTTCTACCAGGGGTGATCTGAGCCGGATCACCCCTACCAGATCACCCTAGCTTGAGTTTCTTTGTCCTGCATGCTTCCTTTGTTCTGTAACATTTTGGCGGGATTGTCAAATCCACAATAAAAGTTAGAAATATTTATACGGAAAAGACTATCAAAATTTGTGTAGAAAAAAATCCAGTGTCTATGCTGGGTAATTTAACATCTTTAAACATTGTGTTTGGGGCTCATAAAGGGTATATACTATATAGTAATATATAAATTATATTATAATGATTGTGTGGCGTTCTTAACTAGATTTTATGAAGCGTAAATGGTTTTTTTATCTACTCTAGAATAGCTGGGATGTAAAATAGTTATCCCATTCGGACTTGGTGTGTCAGTGTAAGATCACCCGCTGGCCTCCGGCCATCGGGGTGATTATACACTGACACACCGCGTCCTCATGGGATAACTATTACATATGACATAGCTCCTTTGCATTTGTTCAAAATCATATGGATGTTGTTTGTGCAGTTATTTTTTTTTACTGACATATACTCAACATCTTATTTATTCCTAGTTATGTCATTGGCTATTTTTTAGTTCTGATTAAAAGTTGTTTCGTAAGCTTTGTCTGTAATTATAGTCTGCGAATAATTACCACGTAAGATACACCATTTTTTCAAATTAATATTGTTTATACAACTTCTCATACCAGGTACAACTTTCTAATAGCGAACAAACAATTGAATTGGTGAACGATGTGAAAAAAGGTTAGCTTTACAAAAGAAAATCGACACATAAGAGGACATCATTTTTATTAAAAACATGGTACCGTTATGGTCTTTTTTAAATCTTATTCTTCATATTACAGGACAGACTTCAGTTTACAGAAAATGGCAGAACAGCAGGAGTAGGAGACCCAGAAGGTTTCCTATTAATTGTCGGAATTTATATATCCAGAAGTCTCATCACAACAGTGAGTAGATTTTTATTTTCTTCAAGGCTGACTTCGACAATTACAAATTGCATCAATTTACAATGTGAATATATATTTTTGTATGTGAATATATATTTTTGTATATATATACTTGTATATAGAATATGTCAGGGGGTAAAGGCAAGGGCAGCTGATACTAATGTTATCCGTAATAGTTATTGATTTAAGTATTTTTTTAATAATCTCTATGTACTAATTTATGTTGTATATTCTTTTATACATATATTTATTTTTGAAATATGTGTGTCGGTGAAATTCGTTTTAAATGAAAGATAACTTTGATAAATTCTTTAAGTTGTTAATGAAACCAGTGGACTACGGACTTTCCTCTCAACAACTGTCAGATATAGCAGAAAGAAATCTGAAAATTCTTGCCACAACTTTGTTGTATTTAGTTAGACGTGTCTCGGGTTCAAGAGGACGAGCAATGATGGTAAGTCAACATTGAATTATTATACATGCCACATGATGTTCTTTTTAATGAATGCCACTTACTTTACTGTCTAATATAAGAATGATTGACATTCAAAACAAATAGAACTTGTTGAATTATAAACATAATTAAAACATTTAAATAGTATAAATAACTAATTAAGGAAGACAGAATTTGATCGTCTGCTTTTTTCATTGAAATGATCATCTTGCTCTTTTTTTATTTAAATGATAATCTGCTCCTTTATTCATTTAAATGATCATCTGCTTCTTTATTCCTTTAAATGATCATCTGCTTCTTTCTTCATTTAAAAGCAAGTACCACACATTAGATTACCATAAAATTAACCAAGAAAAAGCTTCCCAAAACGTTTAAATTGTGATCATGATGGGCGGCTTTTCAATTATTGTATTGTTTTTTTTGTTCTGTTTAGTGAAGTTTCTGGTTCGAATGTGGTATACATGTAACCCAGTCTCCCCAATGCCATAACAAAAAATAATGAAATGGGGCGAATATTCCTTGGAAAACGTAATCAAATTTTATAGACAGCTATGTCCTGCTATTACATCAGTACAATATAACTATTATATTCTCGGTATTTAAACATATTATTCTTGTAATTTTAAAACTTTTCCAATAAAATGAATGACATTGTCTAATATCCACAATTCATAAATTCATTGAAACCGCGACAACAATTTTTTCACACAGTTTTATTTTTGGCAGATCATTTTTTTTTAGAAATTATAGCCACAATCAGTCAATCATTAAAAACAAAATGTTTTCTATGATGTCACTCACAACAATCGATATACAAAGGACTATGTGTGATTATACCACTTTTTGGCCCCCTGAATTCGAAAATCAAACATCATTTTAATCAGACGAAAACCATAATTCATATGTTCATAAGACATCAAACTATCAATCATCAGTATTTATATTTTTGAGTTGTATCTTACATATTGGCATTATAGCTTAAAAATGGTAGCCTAATTCATCTAAAGTCAACTTGCCTGAGGGAGTTGAAACCTTAGTTTCTTAATAATTTCTAAATTTACAAACGGACAATCTAAGAAAGGTTTGTTATACATCATGTCAGAACCGAATACTGACTATTGAACTGATAATACCCTCCCGAGAACTGAAAGTCCAACAGCAGCGGTATCAAAGATGCAAATGTGTTTAAAATATCTCTCTGGTTAAGGCTGTTACTCATATATATTTTAACGAAAAAAAAAATACATGTAAAATGGCCATTTTAGTTCAAACGTGTCACTTTCGATATGTTGATGACGTCAAAGCGACACCTCAAGTGAACTTTCTGTACACAGTGGTCCAGATTATATTACCCTGTTGATTTATTAATAAAATGTACATAATTTTGAAAGATTTGAATGATTTTACTATTTGTGTCATTTTAGGGGCCAAATATTGGCTCTTAAGATACCTCCTTCTTTTCCTATTACTTTTAGACAAACCAGACATCTCGTACTTGATTTGCCTTTTTAACATTTTAATTCGAGCGTCATTAACGAGATTTTTGTAGACGAAACGCGAGTCTGGGGTACAAAATTAAACGCCTGATATCTTCTTTTTCTCATCATACCTTGACCTCGCTTTTTCTACTTTTCTGTAATTTTGTGTGGTTGGGTTGGTGTCTCTTTGACGTATACCAAATAAATGTTTTCATTCATTAAATACAGAAATGTAGTGTTTAGTGAACTTTTCGTCTTTTTATACATGCTGTTGTCTGTTTTTCTTTACCTTATGTTTGTTATTGCATCCTTGGTGTCCTCTTTCCCTTTTTCTATAAAGTACAGCCATCGTTATTCACGAAAAAAAATTTCTTCAAAGATACCATTCTTGTCATTTGGTTCCCCAGATGCGCGTTTCGTTATATAAGACACATCGGTAGGGTTCCAATCACAACAATTGAAAGGCCAAGTCATTTGATATATCAGCAGATCATATACTTTAAGGCTTCTTAATGTTTTTGATAGCATATGCTTATACTGGTTTTCTTTTTATATTGTTTCGTTTTAAAATGTGTTTTTGTTATCTGTAATACTGCTATTATAGAGTAAAGTTCTATTCCTGTTCTGATTTTTACCCTACCTTCTGCTGTTGTCTGTTCTGTGGTCGGGTTGTTGTCTCTTTGACACATTCCCCATTTCCATTCTCAATTTTACAGTTTCCCTATTGTTAGCAAAAAACTACATCTATTAAACGGACCATATTTTTCGGTTGATCTATTTTATAGATTTTCAAACGAAACGCCATGTAAGTGCAAGGAGTTTATTTATGCAAACATCTTTCATGATGAGTGATTGGTTGTTGTTGCTGAAATGTATCTTTCATATTCACGACGAGAACAAATTAGGAATTAATTCAATAGGCAAGTTCTTCAAAAGGGGTCGATTGGAAAGAAGGGTGGGAATTTAGAAAATCACTGGAAAATGAGAATAAATTTGATCGGGGCAGAAATTTTGCCTTGCAACATGACACATACAAACACCTAAAAGAGTTGCTGCAAGGCTTTTTGAGTGTTTTCACCCTACATCACGCACCGAATTTAACGGCCATTTTCCGACCGGGCATGGCTTTGTATCTAGATATCCCGCACAGTTAAGAAGATGTCCCTATTTGGAATTCGGTTTTACTGTCAGAAGGGAGAAGTGACGAGATGACCATGTTTCTATTTATAATTCAATATTTAGGTTAATATGCAAAACGACGGGTACCACATGTGGAACAAAATCTCCTTACCATTCCGGAACACCCGAGATTACTCCGGTTTTTGTTTGGGTTCGTGTTGATCACTCTTTAGTTTTCTAAGTTGTATTTTGTTGATATGTTTTTCAATTCGTTTGGGATCTTCCACCTCTCTGTTGATAAAATAACTTTTGATCGAGCTTCTAGGTCTATCTATTTTCTTTTCTATTCTTATAGTATATGCCTAAAAATATTTTACTCAATTGTTTTGTTTCAACAATCCTTAATTACAATTAGATTTCCCCAGTAATAGATTACCGTAACTGTATTCAGCAAAACCTTTCGAAAATTTTGGGACCGCAATGTTCTTTAACTTCGTACTTAATTTTACCTTTTAAACTTTTTTTATGCCAGCGTCACTGATGAATCTTTTTTAGACGAAATGAGCGTTTGACGTACACAATTTTAAGACTGGTATAAATGATGAGTTCATTTCTATACGTGCATGTTATCCTTTTACAATTTTTTTTCAGCCCCGCCTTTTTGAAAATGATGATCTCAGTACCTAAATAATTGGATACTCACCCCACCCAACCCCGATAATATTTAAAAAATCTCTATAATTATAGTTAAGATGGGCACCAATAATCAATATTTAGCTAAACTGCTCCAGAACTGCAAGCACTTCTTGCACCATACACACACGAAGAAGGTTGACGTCTTTTAAAATTGTCATCTTAATTTTAATAATAGATTGTTTTAACACATGCAATTTTTTAATTAAATGCAATACAAGTATCATATCGTTATTTTTTAAAATTTTGTAGCCAATGCCCTCGGAAATATCTAAATACTTATATACTGACGAAGAAATGCGACCTGTTTACGGTAAAATGGCGAAATCATTCAATTATGCGGAGGTACGTATTCTAAGTATGAAATTAGCAGGACACATGTCAACAGATAATATTATCTTGTTTTCATTTTCTCCTCAAAAATACATTTACGTTTAACTTTTTTTTCTTGAAATACGATCCTACAAGCATACGGTTTAATTTATAGATTTGGAATGTGTTTTATAGTTTATTCAATATAGATAAGAAAAAGAATACTTCAATCAGTTATCAAAAGTCTGTTTAAAGTTGAATAGAATGAAACGGCTGACTGTCAAGGAAAAGACAAAGCAATAATTCTGTTTAAAAAAAGAGGGACGAAAGATACCAGAGGGACAGTCAAACTCATAGATCGAAAACAAACTGACAACGTCATGGCCAAAAATAAAAAGACAAACAGACAAATAATAGTACAGATGACACAACATAGAAAACTAAAGACTAAGCAACACGAACCCCACCAAAAACTGGGGGTGATCTCAGGTGCTCCGGAAGGGGTGTTCATTTTTGGTTCTTGTTGTACAACATGTAGTGGTATATGATATATGATAAGAATTAAACATTCTCCGAAATAATCTACGCCCTTACTTTTTTGCTTTTTGTTTAGTTATCTTTCTTGCTAACTGATGCACAGAAATTATAAAGTGTTATTTTCATTAACTGACTTCTTGATTTTAAAATGTCATAGTTTTAAGTTTAAAAAAGTCTGAGAATATAATAGTTTTGGAATAACACGCCAAATTAATTATCACTCATTATGAATTTTATTTCAAAAATATCATTTTCATTATTATTTTCGCTTAAACCAGGAACTTATAAGGGAATGCGGCACAGGAATATATCAGAATACGACATACTCCAAATGTCATTCGGAACTAAAGATGTTCTTGCATTGCGTGTATTCTAAATTATATGAAGTAATTAATTCACTTCATTATTATGCCAAATTATGCTTTTGTGTAATGTACATGCAGCTTGTAGTTTTTTTTTAAAGGTCTGTTTCTTTACTAACACACTTTCTTATCATAGATATACATCAGCAGCAGTAGTGATGATACATGCCATCATACTGCAATTTTAGCTAACTTGTTCCGAACGGAGGTTTCTTCCTTATTTTACATCGGTCGTCTGTTTAATTTTTTTTTTAAATCTTCTCCAAAACAACTCCCATCCTTGATTCAGGTTTGAGATACAACATTAAAAACAATTATAAGATTTGGCATTAAATATGGTAATTGCGGGTTATTGATGAGTTATTATGAGTACTATATTTGATTAATGTCTTTTAGTTTAAAAAAGATCAGTTTTTAGACTAAAAAGGGGTTCTCGGAGAAAATCATAACTTCAAAGTTACATTTTTTTAGTAAAAATGTGTTATTATTAAATACTTAAATTGAAAAAAAGCATTGGGCTTTTTGCGATATTTATTTTACGTGTTTTCTCAACATTAGCACTTCTGTTTGCAAAATATTTAATTACAATATATTGGAAAGTAGAAATCCGTTTATGACTTAAAGTTAGTTTTACCCTCTAAAGGATATCGGGTGATAGTTTTAGAATTGTGGACTTCACAGGATGTAAAAGTCGAAGTAAAAATGAAAAAATGGCAATGTTGTATGATTGTTAATGAGACAAATATCCAACAAAGACCAAATAACGTGGATGTAAGCAACAATAGATCATTTACGTCCGTCAACCATTAGCAAAACCCATACCGTATATTTAGCTAAAGACACGGACATGCAAAATGTAAAAACAATTCTAACGAGATAAGATAAAAAGTCAGATTAAAAACATATACAATTAACTTTTTGATACATTACACAGGGAGAACATATAGCCAATTTATATGTAAAAATTGAAATAAAGTTAGCATAAAGTTTTATGAGGATATGATTAAGTAAGCAATCGTTATTTCCATATTCAGGGTTGATATGAACGTAAAATTGAAAGATAGTGAATGTTAGAGGACAACATTAGTGTGACAAAAATTTGTAAATTATACACACTATTTGACTTGGATGAAGATATAATGCATTTTTCATCTGTTCGCTTACTTTCTTTTAAAATCAAAGAAGGTTTTCCTTTGGCGTCTTTTGGTACAATTCAAAATCAAAAAAGGAAAATCTGTCTATATGGATAATGTCCAAAAAAGATGTTTCGTTTACTTTCACATTTGTATACATTGAGGATATTTGATCACCAAGCGCTATTTCAACTGGATACTTGACATAACCTTATGTAAACATATGTTTTATGAGGTATATTTTCATATTCTCTCTTCTTCCAAGCAAATTAAAAAATAAAAGATTTAGCGGAATTACACAATGTATAACCTCAAAGGACATGGTATGATAAAGCCAGTTTAATTTTCCCAATATTTGAATTTAAGAAAATAAAAAAGTATTATAAATGCACACTTGAAATGTTCACAACGCATGCAGAAATTTCCAAAATAGCCTCATTGTTAGATATTTTTTTTCTTCATTTGAATGTTCTACCTAATAAGATATTTTGCTACACAACTTTTATCAGATCTTATTTCAAACTATGACTGGTGAACGATACATCACTAGTCGCAAGGAAATTTGATTCCATTCTCCTAATCAGTATTATTTCTCACCTGTTTTCTGTGCAGGAAAATACCTGTACCAATTTAGGAATATAATAGTACAGTTGTTTTCAAGTCGTTGCTTTGGTTGATATAGTCTTGACCTCCGTCAACCCTCTACTGAAACTACTGGACAAATTGGAACCAAACTTAGCCACAATCATTCTTGGAATATCTAGTTTTGAAATGTGTCTGGTGAACGCGCCTGACAACCTACATGGCCGATAAAGCTAAAAAACAAAGGAGTAAAATGCAAGTTTTGTCTATGATTCTGATACCGTTATTTGTAAATACCATATCCTTCCAAGATTGTTTTTGCTAACTATGAGATTGTATATTAGCATTTTATACTCAGCACAAAACATTGGCTGGACAAAGAGAATGTTTTATTAGCTCTGCAATTTTAAAGCATGCTATGCTTGTTTTTTTTTTCCAGGGTTTACTTAGAGAGTGGGGTCAGGAATACATGAAAAGACTGCGGGCGGCACCAGTACCAAAATAGTATGACGATTGCTTTCTAAATGGTCAATTTCACAATTAGTATATTTTCAGGATAGTTATATGTGTTGACAATTAAGACAACTACCTAAACTATATACTCGACACATGTGCCATTTATGGTAAATAGACCATCTTGTCCTTTTCCGGTCTGGTTATTTTGTGATTTGTTGTGATCTCTCTATGAACCAGCTCGATCAAAATTTGTTTATTATTGGTAACCAAGCTACTCCTGTTATGCATAATTAAATATTTCAATTAGTTTGAATTCTATAAAAAGAGTGAGCTACATTGTAATAAACTCCGTGCAAGACGTTTGACCAATGAAAAAACATTAAAAATTGTTGGACCGGTTTCTTCTAAATTTTTTTTAAAGAGAAATCAAAAATCACAAATGGACACAAAAAGTGTTTCATCTTTTCATATGCAACATTATAAGGAAAACATGTCTGACATGTACATGAAAGATTAATATAAACATTTTCAATAACATTTATAAGAATTCACAGTTTATTAATTGATTAATAGTTTAATTTTTTTTACTCATCTTAATTCCACTTTTTTCAAACTTTTCCAAGAGCACGATATGACCACGATGGAGAAATATTCAATCGGTTATCAGATATCAATTCTCAGATAGTCATATTGGGATTCAACATTAAATTTTACCAAGCATCTCTCAAGTTATCATATTATATTTTTGTTTTAATCATAGCGTATGGTCTTCGCCTCAATTATTACCACTATCGTAACTAAATCAAGATGACAAGATAAAGTAGACCAATAATATTTGGTACTAAATTTAAACGGCATATTGTACTTTACAATACCGGTGTGATACAATTGCTTTCTGTGGTTGTGGATTTTTTGCGTCCTTTCCATATTTTTTGCAATGATTGACGCCTATTTTAAATATTTGATTACGAGCACCCCTAATGAGAAATAAAGATTATGATGCGCATATGTTCATCAACTAAGCTTTCTGTTGCTTGATTTCGTTTTTGACATAACATTATAAGAAATACTTATTATGCAATTATATGTTACAGTTTTGGTATAAATTGTCCTAAGGTTTTTCATGTCTTTAAAAGATTTAAAAAAAATTCTCTTTACACGTAGAGCGTATCTATAATTTCAACTCCTATATAGTTCAAATCGCCCGATGATTATTTGCTCAATCCCCGTTGATAAATGAAGAAATTATTTAGAAACTAAGGTTCCGACTACCTCAGGCAAAGTTGACTGTAGATGAATTTGGCTATTCTTTTTAGGTTCCGTTTGAATATTTAGCTTCTAAAGAATATAAATTTATATACCTTTTTTGCATAAAATGTTTTAAAATAACTTAAAAAAAAGCACTTCCCATGAATAGATTACTTTAGCTGTATTTGGCAAATCTTTCGACATTTGGGTCCTCGATGCTCCTCAATTTATTTCTTTATTTTGGTCTTTTTAACTTTTTTATGCCCCCGCCGTAGTCGACGGGGCATTAAGTGTTAGCCTTGACCGTCCGTCTTTCCGTCCGTCAGTCCTTCCCATTTTCGTTTGTTTGAAGCTTGATCGAGCGGGGGTATTCGTAACCTCATACACATTCTTCTTTTATTGATGCGAGCGTTACTAATGAGTTTTTTGTAGACGAAACACGCGTCTGGTGTATAAAATTATTAGTTAAAATATTATCGAATTTTATATCGCATGGGTAATTGATAAATTTTCAAATTCACAATAATCTTTAGTTGAATAAAGACTCAGGTTGTGATAAATTATATAATTTGTCCTGTTATATATAGCCTTCTTTCTTTATATCAATTGACACAATGATAGGAAGCTAGTCACTGTAATGTATCAAACCAATATACTATACACATGCGTTATACGTCTACAAGATAGAAAGCAATCAGTGCGGTGTATTTTTCACAGTTAAGGTGTATGTACTTTGACACAACTTCTATAAATATTACTTAGTTTTCTGTCTTTCAGCCAGTTTGTTTATCGAAATTGTTATACTACTGTCATGTTCATACATTATTTCATTTTATGCTATCTAACATTTAACTCGAAGTGACCCGTGGTTGTCTTAATGTATGTTATGGTCCTGTATTTTGCAGCGACAATGTCGGTCGCTTTGTCACAGACTCATTCGGTTAGTTAGTTTATCAAAAATGTTATGCAGACAACCCATATTACTTTTCCTATTTATACATTTTTCCTGCCAAGCTATGTAACATTTGACTCGGTGTGTTCTATGGTTGTTTAAACGTTTGCATTGTTTCTGTAATTGCAGTTATTCCTTTATAGTTTTTGTAAGTTTTCATGCGGATATAGTTTTCTACAAAACAAATTTATGCGTTAGAAGATAAATCCTTGATAATCGTGCATTACATACTCCATATAAGGTTATCCCAAAGTGGAAGGTGAGATATCATACGCATGAATATCTTTGACGTTCAAAAGACATAAGTTTGTAGATAACCTGTAGTAATGTAAGTTACGTTAGCTTTAGATTCATACTTTAGGTCTCAAATGTATGGTATTTGAGGAAAACTGTAAAAATAACATAGCATTGACATCACAGATAATTGTTTTACACTCAAGAAGAATTTATCAAAATAATCATTCAACACTCTTCAGTTAACATAACTTTTCCAGGAGCTAGTCGTTTTACTTTTATTATTTCTGTCGCCGAATAATGGTCATTACCTTCTCCTTTGTACAGACAGAAATGTAGGTCAGCTTGATGATGATTAAAAGTTTGAGCATTTGTAAATTAACTTGTCTGCATGGCTGATCTACTGTAGCATACAATCAGTATGATATAAACTACAAGCAATAAGACTGAATTCAACTTATATAGATGAAATACGAAAAAGTTTAAAAATTAGCCTACCCATAGATTTTAGGCCTCCGGGAGAACAGCATTAAATATAAGATTTTTTATTTTATTTTCCAAACCAACAACAATGTAAAGGAAATATAGTAATTTAACACTCATAATTAGAGTGTACCATTTAATTATTAACTGCTGTCTTCCTGTTGGTTGGACTGTGTTAACGTTCTCACTTTCTTCACAATATGATTCCTTAAAGTACTGTCAAATTTTATGTAAATAGATAAGTTGCATGCATTTTTACAGCTTTTATGAGCTCTAATGATTGAAAGAAATGATTGAATGAAGCTTGAATTGTATTTTTGTAAATCTAAAATGACATGGGCTCACAAAGACATTAGGATTTTGCATGTGCAAAGTCAGGAACTGTTCGTTTTCTATGATTTTGTTTACACACAATGTATTGTACTTTTGACTTTAAATAGGTTAATGGCTTAACAGAATCGTCTATTATGTTAAATTACTATTGGAATTTATATGGCATGAATAATTGATAGTTTTTTTCCAATTCACAATATGCTTTAGTTGAATAAAGACTCAGGTTTTTGTGATATATTATATAATTTGTCCTGTTATATTTAGCCTTCTTTCGTTATATAAATTGACACCATGATAGGAAGCTAGTCACAGTAATGTATAAAATCAGTATACCATATATAATGAAAACGATAAATAAATAAATAAAGTTTTGTTGATTAATAAAGGTAGATAAGCATTGTAACATAATATATTGGTATTGTAATGTACATATTTGATCGACCTCTATACAAAAAAAAATTGTATTCACCCAATGTATCATATATGTCCTAAATATCGACTTTCAAATTTGTTTTATTTGAGGTCTTGTTATACTGAAGGACAAATGTACACTTATTCACTTACAATTGTATTCTGGGATTTAAGTTATGACCAAACAATCAATTGAAAAATGTGATAAGTAAATTTGTACTCGCAATGAACCAGTTACAATATATTTAATGAATTTGGTGAGTCCAACGCGCCTTTCTGGAATTATATTTATCAGGAATGCTCAAATCCAAACATTTAAAAGCCAATGCTGTATGAATTGTTGAATACTCGAGAAGCTTTATGATCAAAGGAATAGACAAATCCACCTCAGATCAAGTATGCCTGAGGTGTTTGAAATCTTTATTTCTGAATAATTTCGGGAAAAAAAATATGTTAATGTTTACACAGAGACTAAGTGTCATACAGTTTTTGTTAACGGATCAATAGAATAGCGTCATGAAAGTCATGTGTGGGAGTCTTTATTTGAAAGACCATTTCAGAATCAGAAACGACAAAAAAGAAATCACACACAACATATGCAAGAACGTATGATAAATAAATTTGTTTGGCATGCTACATGCGTTTCTGTATTAAAATTCTTTTGATGCCATTGAGGCCAAGAACAGGCCATCGAGATTAATCTAACGCAAATAACCGAGACACCTTAAAAGAGCAAACACTGACTAAAATACGAGGAATTCATATCTGGTTTTGTCAAATTTGACTGGGAAATATTTCATCGGCATAGCCTAAGTGGGTGTTTGTCAGACGATTAAGTGTCATTAGAATTACATAAAAAAAGGTGACAAATGAAAGTGTATAGCTGTAAACATACGAAATTTCATAATATTGAAGATTACAATGATTCAAAAGTAACAAGTTTGCAGAAGATGTACAGAAAGAATACTTTGAGAAAACATGTCCATTTAAAAATTATTTCTACCGTATAACTTAATACAAGAAAAACGTTTTTAGATTCTTGTAACTAAACTTTAACGTACGCAACATTTGGCGATACTTTGAAATTTGATTAACTGCACGATGAAAATTAACTAGATGTTTTATTGTATCAAGACTAGCATAGTTACATAAATTGTATATGGAAAAGAAAACATACTGTATTTTATAATTTTTAAGATACAACAATTGTATCTAGGTTAAACCTTTAAGAGGTAAACGTCCTTAACTAGTTTTCCATTTTTGTATATATAATATTTGTTATCTAATGTGTCTGTATTTGACCATTATATAGTGATAGTCTGACTCTCTAAAACTTATATATATATGACTGTTATTATCACAAATCAAAACTATTCATTCACTATTTATTTCATAATAATAAATTATTTATTTGTTATTTGTCTTTTTATGCGTTTAGTACTAGAGTTTAAGAATGATGAGTGCCTAAATTATACACCATACCCTTGTAAAATGTTTTTCATAAAACCATCGGATAGAATTTTTGCATACCTTGTTTTCAAGTTGCAGGCAGTATAATTTTCTTTTATTAGGGCCCATTCGAGTAGTCTGTGGTGCCCTATAGTAATCACAATGTCTATCTGTTCGTCTGTGTCTGTATACACTTCAAATAGTAAGCAGATATAGGTCACCGTACGGCCTCAACCATGAGCAATACTCCTACCGCATAGCAAGCTATAAAAGGCCACTAAATGACAATTGTAAATCAATTCAAATGGGAATTAACGGCCTGAACAAAGCAATATAAACAAAAATAAAAATGATACACCGTAACAAACGACAACCACAGGGTCTTGCCTTGGGATAGACCCATACACGATGTAGCGTGGTTAACCATGTTAGCGAGCACCCAACCCTCCCCTAACCTTGGACAGCGGTTCAACAGCACAACACAAGAATAAACTATACAAAACAATAAACGAATATCAAATATGATATACAGCAACAAAATACCACTGATTAACAGGCTCCTGACTTGGGACAGTCGCATATAGAATGTGACGGGTTTAAATATGTTTGTGGGCGACCAACCTACCCTAACTGGGGAGAGTGGTGTACCAGCACAACATAAGAACAAAATATAAAAATCAGTTGCAAAGGGCTTAACTTATCAGATCGATACAAATTACAAACACAAAAAACACAAAGTACAGATTTGAAAGTACTCGCAGTTACTGAAAGTTAGTTAAAGCCAATAACAACTAATATAAAAAATAATGTATCTAAAACTTAAATGTCGATCAGTACACATCAAACAGCCAATGGATATAGTTTAAAGACATCATCAACAGTCAGAAAAAACACGACCTAGTGCAATGTCAAAATATAGGTATCGTCAGAATGGCAATACTAATTTTTCGGGTTTTATTTCATTGATAAAGATATCAATATATATACTGATAAAAACGATTTCAAAGTTCTAGTTACAGTGTTAAATAGGTAACATATTAGAATAAGTTTATCTAAAGGATCGATAGTTTACCCGGGTCCTATCTATATTTACGGACTCGGTAAACAACATCACCGTAAACATAAGGATGTGCTATCCGACTTGTCATAAATTTTCAAAAAAGAGGCGAAAGATACCAAAGGGACATTCAAACTATTGAGTCGAAAATAAACTGACAACGCCGTGGCTAAAAAGAAAAAGATCAACAGACAAACAATAGTACAAAATACACAACATAGAAAACTAAAGACTGAGCAAAACGAACCCCACCAAAATCTGGAGGTGATCTCAGGTGCTCCGGAAGGGTAAGTAGATCCTGCTCCACATGTGGCACCCGTCGTGGTGCTCATGTTAGTACAAACCCGGTAATAAGTCTAATTCGGTAGGTCAAATTCGGGAAAAGGGGACGGGATTGTAGTTACGGCATTAGGAACATATCCGCTATTATCTGTGAAACGGATATTTCGTAACGGTCAACCAACTCGATGGCGTCCGTAAAATTTACGAAGGGATGATTTCAAATTCACCACTTGGAACTCTTGGTTTAATAGCTTCCATGTGAGCAGCAACCCTCTTTCAAGGAAATCACGATAGGAAACAAAAGCCCTGGAGTATCGCATCAACTGGGAGATATACACTCCGTATGCAGGCGCTGCTGCAATGTTGCAACATAAAAATGGAAACTCAGTTCCAGGTTGACATTTTGCACTTCCAAGTTGAAATTTCTCAGTACCTAGTTGACATTTCTAAGTAAAAACTTGTTAATTCTCAGTTTCAAGTTGACATTTCTCAGTTCAAAGCTGATATTTCGCACTTCAAAGTTGACATTTCTCTCTCTCAAGTTGACATTTCTCAGTTTCAAGTTGACATTTCTCAGTTCCAAGTTGACATTTCTCAGTCCGAAGTTGACATTTCTTAGTAACAACTTGACATTTCTTCATTCCAACTTTACATTTCTCAGCTCAAAGCTGACATCTCACTCTCAAGTTGACATTTTTTCAATTTCAAACAGACATTTCTCAGTCTCAAGTTGACATTTCTCACTCTCAAGTTGACATTTCTCAGTTTCAAACTGACATTTCTTACTTCCATCTGAACATTTTTCAGTTCAAAGTTGACAATTATTAGTTTTAATTTGACATTTCACAGTATCAAGTTGACATTTCGCAGTTACATTTTGTTATTTCTAAGTTCCAAGTTGACATTTCTAAGTTACAACTTGTTATTTCTCAGTTCCAAGTTGACATTTTTTTTTTCTTTCCAACTTTACATTTCTCAGTTCCAAGTTGACATTTCTAAGTTACAACTTGTTATTTCTTAGTTCCAAGTTGACATTTTTCTTTCCAACTTTACATTTCTCAGTTCAAAGTTGACATTTCTCACTCTCAAGTTGACATTTCTCAGTTTCAATTTGACAATTATCTGTTTCAAGTTGTCATTTCTCAGTTCCAATTTGACATTTCTCAGTACCAAGTTGACATTTCTAGCTTTTAAGTTGACATTTCTCAGTCCCAAGATGACATTTCTCAGTTCCAACTTGTTATTTCTCAGTTCATACTTGATATTTCTCAGTTCCAACTTTGAATTGAGAAATGTAAACTTTGAAGTGAGAAATGTAAACTTTAAAATGAGAAATGTAAACTTTGAAGAATTTCGGAAGAAATGCATTTCAAGATCCAAATGTAAAATGAGTTATTAATAGTAGTAGACAGAAATTCAAGATGGTTTAGGTCAACAGCTTCTCCGTCTTCTAATATTGAAAGCTCAAAAAAGATATCATGACTACATTAAAATTTGATAATGTGTCAAAGAAAATCAAATACATTACGAGAAAGAAGTACACTTAAAGTTTCAAAAACTATGGTACCACAAGCTTATTTTGGTTTTCAAACACACCTACCCTTTTGATGATTCATTACACAGGTAAATCACTTGATCTTTTTAATAGGGTTCTAGTAATGTGAATTTTGAATCTGATTATACTATCATCTGGCTTTAAAATATAAAATTTTAAAAAAATCTGAAGCGAGATGATATATCATTTGTTTTTGTTTTATACATTGAAAGGGTAAAATGTCATGATTGAATTCAAACACGCTTGAAGGAAGCCAGTAAACAGACTTTCTCTTCTCGATCAAGTTGTTACAAATTTTCAGGATTTTTCTTTTCGGGGGAGGCGGGGGTTGGGGCAACGATGCAAATTGATGCAAATTGTTGTTTTTCTAATCAATCTTATATCTTTACGGGTATTTTTTTCAATGGATTTTATTAATATGCATCTTGACTTTAAAATCCAACAGTATTTGCACCTACTAAAATCTTACGTTTTGTGATTTTTTATCTCTTACTAAAAAGAGGCATTATATCTTTTAGCTCCATACTATTATTTGTGTAAAAATAGGTATTTGGCATACACAAAATATTATAATACACAGCTGCGTTACTCTTTTACTGACCATGGAAACAGGTGTAAACAATCCAGAAATGCCAACTAAGTGTTGTTTTACGTGCTGTTTTAAAGAGTTCCATTTCTATTGTTGAATTTCCACTGGATACCCGACTGATATTTTTCTTCAACCCTAAGATAGAAAAATCCTTTTTAAGTTTTGAAAACATAACGCTATGCAGCTAAATACTTTGTTTAATGTATCTGATTCTATGCACATTTCTTGTATAGTATATAAACTTTTTGATTTTATAAGAATTGGAAATAACAAACGAACGTAATGATATCAAAGATTATTTAACAGTTCAAATTCACTGGCAGCTTTTTTTCACCTTTTCAATTAATTTGCCAATCAATATCAGTGGTTGATATCATTTGATATCTCTCAATCTTGCATACTTAAAACCACAAAATTTTACAAATGGCGACAGGATTTAATATCTAGAAAGGCAAAATAAAAATAGTATGAATGAAAGATCTCTTTTTCTGAGAGTTCGGTTGATGTCAACACCGTGACAACCGCATATGACAATAGTTTTAATTGTCAATATACTCACATTCTTCTTCTTTTTATGAACTATTGTTCTGTTCAATGCTACAACCAGACCTTATTCTTCTTCTGACATGATTTTTTCCTTTTTCTCTTTGAATATGAAAATAAGTGAACAAGACCGATGATTAGAGTTATATAGAAAAGCTTCTTGTCGATTATCTTATATTAATAAAAACGTCATGTACCATCGTGTCAACACATCATTTGTAATTTTTCACTAAGATGGACGATCATTATTTACTGTGACATATTTGTCGCATTCGTTTAATGTGGAACATTGTTTGAGTTTCATCTCCGTTACGGAAGAGTATATTGTGTCTTAAACCGTGCTTTATATAGCAATAGTATACATATAAAAAGTTTTCATTCCCGTTAAATACTGCAAGGCGAATAATTAACGATTGATAGTTTCCGAACAAAGCATAAAAGTCGTGTTATTCTCGCTTAGAATGTACTTGCTTAAAAATATTGATTTTGTTGAGATGAAAGAGAACCAGAGCAAACGGCAAATTCATGACATGAAGCTGAGGGAGCCTCAAAACGTCGAAAATCAATCGCATAATACAAAAAGGCCATAAAAACCAAAAAAATTAAAGATTTAGCACACATGCATGTCTATGTAAACAATACGCTACACTAAAAACGTGAGATTTAGCGATCCGAACTTTCATAAAACCGGAATTGACATCAACCATGTGCTCAGGAAGAGTAAATGTATTCTGCTATTGCAACCCTTGTACTGAAAGTACTGAAACGAGGTCAATATTTCAGTTTTATCTGTAATGGCTGATAATCATCGGCTTTATATATATACAAATAATGATCTATTCAAATCACAAATAGTCAACAAAGTTTACAGCCGGATAATTGGTGAAATATATTAATCATATGAGGAAAAGATATTTTATGTCTTTTTTATTATTGTGTCGT